AGACAGAGACAGACAGAGAGAGACAGAGAGAGACAGAGACAGACAGAGACAGACAGAGACAGACAGAGACAGACAGACAGAGGGAAGGCCCACCCAACCATTTCACAGAAGCGAGGCGACGGCTCAAACGGGTAGAATGCCACAGGGTGGCGGGAGGACAAGGCCAACCAAGACGACCAGGCCCGCCCCACGGACGGAGCCGGGAGGCGAGCACTCAGGAGTCTGTAGAACAAGGGGATCTGAATGGATGTATTTGAAAGGGCCGAATCATGGGTTTAGTTTATTTAGACTCGTTTCGAAATCAGGAATTCAAGGCAGGACTTGCGTTTTTAAACCTTGGGCCGAGGACGCCTGCCGGTGAGGATCCTGTTCCAGTTCAGCAGTACGGGTGCCCGTAAGCCAGATCGGCGCAGCATGGCAGTTGCGTTTTTACACCAGCCCTGATCTCTCTATCCATACCACGTCAATGTAAGAAATCCTTCTGCACGGCCGCGGCACTCAAGAAGTTGCAAGCTTCATGCCATGAGATTCTCAAGCTGCAGGTGTGAACAAATCACTCTTCGTAGACGTCAACTGGTAGGTTTGGTTTGTGGGCTTTGTCGATCAAACTCTTTACAGTCTTTACGTGTAGGACGAAATCCAAAGCTCAAGCAGAGGTGGCCGAATACTTTGGCTCATTGACTGGGCCCAATATTCAAAATGAACGCGGAACCTCAACCAGACAGATCTGCGCAGCAAGCACAAAACACAAAACTGCAACAGAACACAGAGGCCTTTCAACTTTCCAGCTTGCAGTTTAACAGTCCCAGCTAAGGTCAACGGAGGATGGCACAGTACTTGAGTGCTCGCGGCCTGCTGTGCCTCGACGAAGGGGCGGCTTTTGCTGGTGCATCTGACTGAGTACTGCGAACCTCGAACAATCCCCGGAACTATGATCAATCGACACAAACTGCCTATGATCACAAGCTTTAAATGCAATTCCAATTCAGCCGGACGCCGCCCCTGCCCAAAGGGTCAGGAAATTCACTTGCCCAGTGGGCTGCTCTTCCTTGCACGTCATGGTTCCGCGTTTGGTGTGCGCCGTCGCTGTCGGATTTGGGTTGACAGGGCCGTGGTTCAGGCTTTCGGTGGAGGCGACATTGTGACAACAGCAGTCTGTGACCCCAGCCCCAACGATCCCGAACAGTAAAACAACCGGGGCTCACTCCCTCCAACACTGCAAGCCTTCAAACCATGCCGCAAAAATAAACCGGAAACCTGGAGCCCGAGCAACCCAATCTCTGATGCTATCGGCAATTGGTTCTTCAACAGCATTTGTCTGACCAGCTGCCTTGGGGTTTGTCCATTCTCAAGATTACCACTCAGGTTTTGCCTTAAGGTATGAGCCTGGTGGGATTTCTGTATCACTCACTGCTGGCGACCGAGCGCAGGCAAGCGTCGGCTGCATGAGGGAGAGCCTGACCGTGTTCATGTTGTCCAGATCAGCATCAAAAAGCTCGGGGTTACCTGACAGTCTCACCGGCAACAGCTGCGATAAGAACCTCTCGAACCAGAGATCACTGAGTTTAGTTTAAGGTGTTCCATCTGCAGAGGCGTCTCGGGACCTGAGGAAACCTGGATTGGGGGTACTCTACAGTTCAGATTCAGGTCAAACATCAGAGCCCCCACTGCTAGAAAAGGTTGAAAACTATAGAATCAAAAATGGAAGAACGCAAAATTGCTGGAAGATCTGGGCATGAAAACATATGAACTCACGGGAACGGGAAAGTATGGAAATTTCATTTTTTCATATTTCCAGCGATCCCATTTCACATGTTGAAACATCTTTCCCATTTTCCAGTGAGTTCGCATGATTCCCACTGTTTTACCGTATTTTTCCATATCGGCCTTTCGGCTTCACAGTCGAAGGTGTTTTTCCCGCATTTCAAGTTCCATGGAAACTCTCACAAATTGTCTGTCTTCAGTGCTGCTAAGCTGCGCTTGGCCAGGGGCAGGAGCGCCTCGAGAGAAACAACTCCAACGGCTCGACAACAACGATCACGGGAAGGCCGACCAAAATGCAAAACGGGCTAGGCTGGCTGGAAGAGGACGAAGAACCTTCAAAAGAATATCGTAGAATAGGTACATGAAATCACTCTTCCCTGAAATAAAAAGCTGCTACAGAAACTCCCCGACACAGACTTTCGTGAGCATGTCGGCTTGGATTTCTGTGATGGCCTAAGCTCAAAAGGTCACCCAACATCTCGTTGTCTCCCTGACGATTCAGTTTCACGCCAATGCTTTATCTTGAGTCTTGAGTTGTTCTGGCATATCTCAGACAACGTTACCTTTCTGTTTGAGGTTCTCATCTCTTTCACTCGACATCTCCCACAGTGTCACAGGGCTTACAGAAACTGTAATGGCGTTCGAATCTAAACAGCGAAAGCACCCAGGTACCGATCGGTGCAGGGACCCCCAAGCAAGCCCTCCACATGGCGAGGTACTTTGCCGCAATTTGCGGGCCACAGATTATTTAGATCTCATTAGCAAGGACTTCGGGGCCAGCACGTCGCAGCGCACCTCTTTGGTCAGGAGGGTCGTCTGGCAGTCAAACTTCTCCCACCTTATGCAGCTCCGACGCAACGGTACGGGCTCACCACCGCTTTGCATCCTATTGATCTTAACGAGCCTTCACCGGGATTCTGGATCTTGGGGCTTGAAGCTGAAGCCTTCTCGGCTCAGAATCATAAGCAAGCCATCGAAACTTGGAGGAAAGACACACGTGGCCCAGCGTGAAGTTCGTGTAGCGCGAGAGGGCATCAACCTGCACATAAGCAGGTTTGATATTGCTCAAACAAGGCCGCGAAGCTCACTACAGGACTTCTGGGATGTGCTGCGGTCAAGTTGAGGGCTGAGGCGATTCGAATCTTGCGGCATCAGCATTTATTTCCTGGAATTGGGCGCAGGGCTGGCCGTTCTTGGATGGGATTCTAGCGTAGCTTCAACGCTTCAAGCTACAGCTTCATGCTGGGAAGGTTTGGCCCAAGACTCCTGATCAAACCGACTGAAGACTCCAGGGCAGATGAAGGCAGTAAATCCAAGAGTTAAAAATAACTCCCGTGTTTATTGTTTTCTGTTTTTCCAGGGCGAAAGGTAGGCTCCATTCTTAATGCCGCTGCAGACATGTGCGTCAGAGTCTCTTTGCAGATTGCAGCATCTAGGTTGGGAATTGAGATCGTTGCCGCTGGGGGTGAGATCGGGGACTGATGTCCTTGTTTGTTCGCTTTCCTTTTCCTACTCTCTTTCCTGCCCTAGGTGGTTTAGGCCTTCGGGTTCTCTTTTCCCTCTTGTTACTTGTGGTGCACCGCACCTCTGTCGCTAAACAGGCGTGCGATCTTGGGCGCGCATGCCCTGGATTATGCTGGCATTGCATTCCACGCTGCAGTGGCCTCATCAACCACGTTGGCAGCAGGGTGTAGATGGGTTTTTTTTCTTTAGTTAGGCCCTCCCCCTTTGTGTGGGTTAGTGTGTGTCGCATCGCACAAGTTGGTGCACCTGCATCCTTTTTGCCGTGCAGTTCAACCCCAGGTTTGGATCCGTAGTCAGGTTACTGCACATCACACATATCCATTCTTATAAGCAGTATCGTTTTGAACTGATTTGTTTATGGCTGCTTTCGCAGAGAGCTTATCCTGGCTCAGTGTGGATTTGACAACTGTGTCAGAATTGCACTGGTCACTGCCACGACTACGGGGTTGCGAACTAGAAATTCTGGCTCGGGACCAATGGGAACCTTTGATTTTGGGTTTAGGGGCCCGTACTCTCAGAATAAGTGTTTAGGGGTCGTGAAGGTCAGAAGGACCTCCTTTGTGGGAGTCTTGAGCTTCGCGAAGGCTCTGTGCCAGCGGAAGACGTGCGCTATCTCCTGCGTAGGATGGTCATGCAAGCACAAACCCCTAGATGTCAGCAAGCCTACGAAAACTACTCAACTCAGGACTCTCGAATCTCGGTGCTTTTGGGCCGTCACATGCCACTGCGGTCGAGGATTTCGGCTTATGGGCTTACAAAATGTATAAACCCGAACCAATTTTTTCGACCAACGGGTCTCCCGGACTGAGCCGGAAAACGCGGAAACCTTGCCCTCAACAGCACAAGGCTTCTGAGTCGATTTTCCGGCTGAAGGCTCACTTCCGACGTGCAATCACGGCTGCAAACAGCATGGTTTCAACCATACGCATGACAGAGACGTCCTTGGCGGCTGCGGACATGGTATGTGTCGGGCGCCGTACTCTTGCTTGACCACTTGAGATTAAATGCGCTGCGGCAATTGGCCGGAGCCCTGGCCTTTAGACTGTTAGTAGGGTTGTACTCCATTGAAACCCGACCCCTGGACCAATTTGCCACTGTACTCTGCAAACAAAGGATCTGAAAGTCTGTCGGGGCAAACCATGGCTTCCGTTTCTCCACAGCTCCACCGGGCCGCAAAGCATTTGTATGGTTCAGTCATCTAAGACACTTCTCAGGCTTCCGCAAGCCAAAAAAAATTTAGATTCACCATTCTGTACTATCCGTCATGGCCACTTCTGCTAGTGCTCACGGGTGGCTCATTCTGTTCGGAGGGGGGCGGGGGATGCCAATCAAAAAAATTTTCCAATCAACAAAATCTTCTTAACAATCAAAAAATTTTCTACAATAAAAAAACTTTCCCTTTGCCACAGAAGTTCTGACTAACTTAGTTTCCTTAGCGACCTACTTAAGCCCTGGGCAAAGAAGCGCGCGGCCGTTCTTTTCGTCAAGGTGTGCTCGGAATAGTCAGGCGAGGCATAGCATTGCTATGCGGAGCTGCTCTAGCCCCCACTTTAGCTCCGAGCACACCGCTGGTCTAACTTGCCCCCTCCGACGTGCGGTGAAGGAACGTCCTGGCGAGGGCAGGTAACCGAAGTACTGCGGGTTATTGAGTAAAGAATGCATACTGCGTTTATGCTTTCCATGTGCTGTGCCATGCTGCGTCTTCTGGGTGCAGGTGGGCTATTCCCACCGGTTCTGCCAACAAAGCGAGAGGCATTGCTGAACGTTCATGGAGTCTATGCATGAATCTGTGCAATTTGTTCCGACTCATTTCGTCGGCCCAGGTGTTAAACTCACCTGCTATGTGTGTAATTTGCATGCTGACATGGTTGCATGCAGACCCCGTTGCCACCAGCTTGAGGAAGTCGCTCAGCGGTGGCGCGGTAGTAAACAACTTGTTGATGCCCGCTTCGGCGCTGGTGTTATCGCATGCCGACGGCAGGGAAAATCTCCAATGCTTTGCTTGCATGCGGGTTTTGGCCAACATAGCCAGTGCCAGTTGCACCAACGTTTCGAAGCATGCGATGTACTTTTGCGGTGCTTCTTTAAGCTGTGGCCAATATTTGCGGACCTCTGTCATATCCCATTGCTCTGCGAACCAAGCAAACTGTGTGGAAGTGCTTATCCATCCACCGATTCCCACCAGATTCCCGTCTGCTCTGGCGTCTGCCGCGGCCATGCAGTGCATGATGGGGTATTGCTTGAGGGAGCGCACCCGAGATGCTGAAAAGCATTGCGATAACCATAAGAGAGCTGCTCTGCTTTCGTTGCGCAAGTGCAGCTCGTTGCGGTTTGGGTCTTGTAGTCGGACCCATTGCGGTTTGTGGGATGGTGGCACTCGGGGCACCGATTGTTTGCTTGTAATTGCGATGCTCCCGATCTCCAGTAGCTTTGCTCCCAAAGGTAGCCACATGCCTGCGGGTCTGTGTCGGACCGTTGCTGTGTCGTCAAGGGCATCCAAGAAGGTGTGCCAGGACGATGCGTGAATGCTGTGCAGCGTTCCCTTTCCGCTGTGCAAGTCTCTATAGAGCGGTGCCAGGTATGGCCTGAGCTGCGTACAGGTACTGGTAGCCCACATGAGCAGGCCTAGCGCTCTTTCGAGCAGCTTGCGAGGGATCTTCCTGCTGCTGGCTAGCTCCTGCAGCTGCTTTTGCAACTTTTCCAGCTTGCCTGCTGCTAACTGCACCGTTTCGAAGTCAAAGTTGAAGGTCCAGCCGCACCATGTGACTTCGTGGCCCAACTGTGCTTTCTTCCAGCTGATGGGTGCGTGGATAGCTGCCAGGAAGCAGATCAGCAAGGCCAGCTGTTCCACGAAGTTCTGAAAACCAAAACAGTTTGGGCATGGACAACAGAGCGACACTCCTACCAAAAAGGGAG